AGTTATGTTTCTAAGCTTAAACTAATTAAAACCTCATGATTTAGGGTCTAAACGACGTATCTTAGGGGTTAAACGAAATAGGAAAAGACCAAAAGACCCCTGAATTAACTGTTGTCGGAGTGATCTACGGATTGGACCTACGGGCCGTAGGTCAATCTACGGTCCGTAGATTGCGTCCGTAAGTCAAGCCTGTTCGACATACAATCACTAAAACGAGCATAACTTTTTACTCGGAGGTCGGAATTTAGTAAACTCGGTGGCTTTGGAAAGATAATTCAATTATCTATCTAACCATAGGTAATGGGACACATAATTCATTTTGTGCTAAGATTTATGACCATCTGAAGTTGACCCATCAGAACTTTCAGCTAACTGGCTGCTAACCTTCGATCTATGGTCAGACCTACGGACCGTGGATCAAATGACGGTCCGTGCTGGTCAACCGTAGTTCGGGACTGAAGCTGGGCTTTTGGGGCATCGATCCACGGACACGAACTACGGTCCGTGACCTGACTTACGGACCGTAAGTCCGGCCGTGGTTCAACACTTAGCCAAATTTTCTGACTGAGTTCTGGGGAAGTTTTCTGTCACAAACCACGGACCTGCAATACGGATCATGAGTCCATATACGGTCCGTGGATGGTGTCCGTGAGTGCCACCTGTAACACCAGAAATCTGAAATCTCTATTTTCGGATACGGGGTGTTACATGCATCGCGACAGTTGAAGGTGCATGAGAGGAATTATCCAACACATGATTTGGAGTTGATCGCGGTAATATTTGCTCTTAAGGTCTGGTGGCATTATCTTTATGGAGTCATCAAGTATGAGGTATCTACTGACCACCGTAGCCTACAATATGTATTCACTTAAAAGGATCTAAATCTGAGACATCGAAGGTGGATGGAGTTACTCAAGGATTATGATGTGACCATCCAGTACCATTCATGTAAGGCTAATGTAGTGGTAGACGCATTAAGGCAAAAAATGGTAAGTATAGGTAGTTTATCTTGTTTGGGTGTGACTAAGCGAACGTTGGCAATGGAAATTCAACATTTGGAGTTTAAGTTCATGCAGTTGAGCATCTTAAAAAGAAGTGGGGTATTAGCTAGCATTGAGGTTAGGGCCACCTTCATGGAGGAGATCAAGGCCAAACAGTTTGAAGATGAGAATTTGAATGATCTTAGAAAGAAGACAGTGATTGGTAAGGCACAAGATATGGTTCTTGATGCGGAGGGTGTGCTTAGTCTTAAAGGAAGAATTTGTGTTCCTAGAGTGGGCGACTTGATTCAGATTTTATTGACAGAATCCCATGGTTTGAGGTATTTTATTCATCCGAGTGTGACCAAGATGTACCAAGATTTGAAGCGACTTTATTGGTGGTCTGGCATGAAGAAAGATATAGCGGAGTTTGTGGCTAAATGTTAAAATTTCCAACAAGTAAACTATGAGCATCAAAGGCCGACAGGTTTGCTTCAGAGAATACCAATTCTGGAATGGAAGTGGGAAAGGATAGCGATGGATTTTGGATTTTGTGGTTGGTCTTTCCAAGACATGGGAATGTATGATTCTATTTGGGTAGTGGTTGACAGATTGACTAAGTCAACCCACTTCATTACGGTCAGAGTAGACTATAATGCGCAACAAGTGGATAAGGTATATATAAAAGAGATAGTAAGGTTGCACGGGGTGCCCCTTTCTATCATCTCAGACCGTGGTACACAGTTCAAATCTAAATTTTGGGGAAACTTGCATGAGGAGTTGGGTACGCACTTCATGTTTAGCACAGCCTTCCATCCACAAATAGATAGGCAGTAATATACCGTGAGTTTACGATATTTTTGATACATTTCACTTAAGAATTGTGTGTGTCTAGGGCCATTTTGTATTAGAAATAATGTTTTATATGTTATGCTTGCAGGAAATAGGCTTGGACGCGGTTGAGTAAAATGGCAGTTGAAATTATGTAGAAGGAGCCACATACAGACATGATCCACAAACCATAGGTCTTTTGACAGTCCCTCAATGGGTAGGCGTGGATGGAGCATCAGGTAGGTCTGACCAAGTATGGAACTACGGAGAAATTAACGAACCGTAGTTTAGCCCATGGGCCATCCTGTACATCCGTTGAATTGGTTCAGAGAGTTGAAGTTCCACTACCTAATGAAAAATCCCAAGTGTGGAGCCACGGAAGAGGACCACGTACCGTAGGTCGACCTACGATCCATCCTGCACGTCCGTTATTGATGATCTGAGAGTGAAGGTTCTAATCCCTGCAGAAAAGTTCTAAGTGTTGACAAACAGAAGGGGACCTACGGACCCTAGGTTGACCCACAGCCCATAGGTCAAGTCGTCGATTGATGTTGCGTTCCAGAAGTTTATTTCCTTATTTTGTTTCCTTTTTGTTTAGGACATGTTTTTCTATAAATAGGGTATGTAAACCTCATTTTTGGGGGTTAGACATTATTGTTTACTTTTAGTTCTTGGTATTTTGTGGAATTAACTTGCAACTTTAGCAATTTGATTTCTGAATTTAGTTTACAAGATTTTACTTTGAAATTCAATTGGAGATTTCAGGTTTCTTCTACTCTAATCATAAGTTCATGAATTCTTCTTAACAAAACATGAATTGTGTTCTTTGAAGCATGATTAGCTATATCTACAACTAGGGTTGTGGGAACCATGAGCAATTAACAACGTATGAATAATAATTAAGTAATTCCTGAATAGTGCTTATGCATGTATTGGTAATTCTTTCGCTTAGAAGTCTTTTTAACGGTTGCAAATGTTAGAACTCGCCTCGTTCCTACTTGCCGGACCAAAGAGGTAATGAATGAGAAAAGAATTAACAACAGAGATTTAGTGGATGCTATATAATAGTCTAATGTCAATTGGTGCAAGGGTGAAAACTAAGTTTTACATTGATGTGATATCTAATCTAAGGTAAATGTAAGGGTTAGTAAAGTATACATGCACAGTCGGACCAAGGTGCATAGTGAAATTCCCTATTTGGAGGACCAATCACTTAGGGATAACTAACTTACCAATGTTGCATGTAAAACACTAGGAAATGATTATTATTATATTAGGATTACCGCGTTAAGTGCTTATGGGGAACACATACACCCTAGTTTCTCTCTCATATTGATAACTTAAAAGTTTGAATCCTGCTTACTTGTTACTTGATCAACAATCTGCTACTTGATTACAAACCCCCCTACAAGTTGGGTTCTTTATTTGACAACGATCGTTTATACTTTTTTAGGGAGGTGTATTTGAGCATATCAAATTTTGGCACCGTTGACGAGGAATAAGGCTTTTGGATTAAGTTTAACTACATTATTGAACTTTAGTCAATTATTTCCTGATTTTACGTTTTCTTTTGTTTTTGTTTTCTACAGGTTTCTACTCTAGTGTATCCCAAGTACACGAAGTCGAGGCAAACCATTGACCCTGTACGATCCAAAGTTGAGCAAAACTTTGAGAAAAATGAATAATCAATAGGTCCAAATCAATCCAACTGGAAAGAATCAAGGTGATGGAGTTGAATTGCAGCCTCCTGTTAATGTGCACGCTCAGGATCATGGTGGTAATCTACTCGGAAATGCTTTGAAGGTACAGAATCCACCAGAACCAAGGTTGCGTGATAACTACAGGGTCGACTTCAACAGTTGAATCAACAGGACCTATTGTTCTCCCTCATCTACCTTCGGGACATACATTTGTGGTGACGAACAGTCTGATGCAAATGCTCACAGCAAGAGGGTTATTTTCTGGTCTAGCTTTGGAAGATCTGCATGGTCACATGGCTAAATTGAGAAGTGTCTGCAAGAGTTATGTGGGACGACCGGAGTTGGATATGAATGTCATAGGGTTGAGAGTCTTCCCTCTATCATTGACTGGAGATCCTGCGGTGTGGTTTTATGAGTTTCCATATAACTCGATTCATACATGGGACCAATTGCATAAGGTGTTCATGGCAAAGTATTTCCCATTGTCCAAGAAGTTGAATCACAAGGACAAACTGAACAACTTCGTAGCAGTTCTTAGGATAGGTTCACGTCATTCATAAGAAGTGTTCCAAATCACCACATAGATGATGAGTCACTGAATGAGTACTTCTATAGAGGTCAGGATGACAATGGTAAGGTTGTGCTTGATACTATTGTTGGAGGATCATATGGTGAGTGCACTTTTGAGGAGATCGCTGAGAAACTAGAGAAGATTTCCCAAAATAATAAGGCATGGAGCACTAGAAAGTTAGACACTGGTAGAAGCACATTTGTAGTTCAAGCCACACCTAGTCAATCAGTGATGATATTCGTGAAGAAATGGCTCAAATGAGGACATAATTGGGTTTGGTACTAAAACATGGGACCAGAGGTGCAGAGAAGGTGAATGTGGTAAACTATATGACTAGAACTCCACCACCACCAGTTGAAGAATGCTACAATGAGGAGGATGCGTATTTGGTGAATAATAAGACTGGGGGTTTTCAAACCAACGCCCAAGGATCCAACTCGGATAATTGGCACCAAGGTCAAGGAAACCAATGTCAGAACTATGGAAAGTATAACAGAAAAGGAAACTATGTATAGGATGGGAACTACAGTCGTGATAACAACTACAACCGAAACAACTATGGTAACAAGAATGAGAGAGTTGGGACCTACGTTCCACCCGGAACAGGGAATCTGGTAATAGAGAAGTTGGGGCCAGTATGTCGCGCGTTGAGGATATGATGCAAAAGATAATGAAGAGGTTTGACGCTACTGATCATAATGTGAAAGAGATGCGCACTGAGTTGTCCAGGATTGGTCAGAAAGTTGATGAACATGCAGTGTCGATAAAGCAACTTGAGCAGCAGTTTAGTCAGTTGTCTGCTACTATGAATACACGCTAATCGGGAACACTTCCCAGCAACACCATCTATAATCTGAAAAATTATGGCATTATATGACAATCATAACTCACGGTGGAAAGTAGACTATTGATCTCCCCATGCCATCTGATGTGGAAAAAGTGGTAGAAACATATGATGAGATTGAAGTTACTGGAGAGTCTAAAAAAACTACGGATAAGGAAGCGGAGGTAACCCAAAAGGTTGTTCCCATGCCTAGACCTCCACCTCCTTTCCCACAGAGGTTAGTGAAAAAGACCGAAGAAGGAAAATACCACAGGTTTATAACTATGTTAAAACAGCTTTCCATCAATGTCCCATTGATAGAAGCTTTGGAGCAAATGCCTGGGTATACAAAGTTCACGAAGGACATGGTGACCAAAAAGAGGGCTGTCAATTGTGAGAATGATGAGAGGTTGTAGCATTGTAGTGCCATTTCTACAAGATCATTGGTGCAAAAGGAAAAAGATCCTGGAGCTTTCAATATTCCTTACACCATCGGTAGGATGCACTTTACAAAGGCCTTATGTGGTTTAGGAGCCATCATTAATCTGATACCATTGTCTATCTACAAGAAGTTGGGTTTAGGGGCTCCAAAATCGGCTGCGATGCAACTACTCATGGCTGATAGAACTGTGAAGAAGCCCATTGGTGTTTTTCAAGATCTCATTGTGAAGGTGGGATCATTCATCTTTCCGGTGGACTTTGTGATACTTGATTGCGAAGTTGACTTTGAGGTTCCCATCATCTTAGGGAGATCATTCCTCGCTACGGGGCATGCCTTAGTTGATATGCAAAAAGGGCAAATGAAGTTCCGACTGAATAATGATGAGGTGACCTTTAACATCTGTAAATCTATGAAGCAGGAAAGTGATCTTAATTCGGTATATGTAGTGAGTCACATTTTCGAAAAAGGTGTTGAATTGTCCAATAGGGAGAAGTTAGGTTCAGCCCTGTGCACAACAAAAGAGCACCATGATCAAAAGTCAGAAAAGCGCAAACTAGCTCTTGGGGATCTGGTGTTGTTGTTTAAATCAAGGTTGCGCTGGTTTCTGGCAGATCCAAGTCCCAATGGACCGGACCATTCAAAGTGAATCAAGTGTCCCCACATGGAGTAGTTAAGTTCGAGAAAAGGAGGGGAACAAGGTTCAATGCCAACCACCGGAGGATAAAAAGATACATGGGAGATTCTGAGAGTGTAAATGCATTGATAGAGGCATGGCATCTTGATGAAGTCTTAGTAATCTAGGTGTCTGCGTCATGCCGCGACGTTAAATTAAGCGTTTCTTGGGAGGCAACCCAAGATGTACAATCTAGCCAACTATAGGTTTTTCTTTTTGATATAGGAGTTTACTGCTCTTATTTTGAAAAAAATTGTAACTCTTTAAATAGGTGTTTTATTTTTGTCTTAGTGTTGGCTAGATATAGAATAGGGTCTGTGTCTAAAAAGTGTCAAGAAAATGTAAAAAGAAAGTCCTAATGGTTGCTACGTGTGCAGGGATGACAAGTTAAATTTGTAGAAAAACACATGTACAGTGGTCTACATACCCCATCGACGGTCCGTTGGTCAATCCACAAACTGTGAATGGCGTGTGTAGATCTCAGGTAAGTCCTTAAAATTTTCTAAGTGTCAAGAGTGACCTACAGACCCTATCTACGATCCATAGGTCGACCTACGGACCGTCGACGGGGTGTCATGTGTCCACAATTAGGGTTTTGTCGACCCGACCCCGAAAAAGAAAGAGCGCCAGCAGTTGGAGGAGGCCACAAAGGCGTCATTATTGGAGGATGATAGGAGACATCAGCGGGCAAGAATTGGTCGAGAAAAGAGGTAAAAAGCCAATGTAATGTCAAGAAGGGCAGAAAGTCACTAAAAAGTACCCAAACATATCCTACCTGACCCTGAGCCTATTACAAGCTAAGAAAGGCCTATAGTGATCCTAGCAAACTAGCTTGAAGAGTCTAAGCAATGAAAATAAGGGCAATCCTATGGTATTGAGCACTACCTGCACTTGAAGTCACTTCTGAGCGTGAGTGTTGAATGAATCCTAAAAAAACTTGAAAGGCATATCTATTGTGTGTGAAAAAGAATTTCTTTTGAAGTGAGGGCACTAGTTACATTGCTGGATAATTTGATACCCTGGTGATTTTAAAAGGTGTATGTTGTGATGTATGTTAGTAGATCTATGTCATGTTTTGATCCGTATGAGTTAGCTTGTTGAGTCTAAATGAAGAGATTTGCACTAAGGAAATAGACTGAATTGAAAAGGCCATGTGATTACTTGATTTTGCATGTCTACTTCTACACAAGTGTCGTTTAGAGTTATAGTGTGTCGCTTGAGGACAAACAACAAGCTTAAGTTGAGGGTGTTGATATACTGTAAGTTTATGGTATTTTGGATACATTTCACTTAAGAATTGTGTGTGTCTAGGGCCATTTTGTATTAGAAATAATGTTTTATATGTTATGTTTGCAAGAAATAGGCTTGGACGCGGTTGAGTGAGATGACAACTGAAATTATGCAGAAGGAGCCACCCAAGGACGTGATCCACAGACTGTAGGTCCTTTGACGGTCCGTCGATGGGTAGGCATAGATAGAACATCAGGGAAGTCTGAACAAGTGTGGAACTATGGAGCAACTGACAGACCGTAGGTCGACCCATGGGTCATCCTGCACATCCGTCGAATGGGTTCAGAAAGTTGAAGTTCCACTACCTGATGAAAAATCCCAAGTGTGGAGCCACGGAAGAGGACCACGGACCGTAGGTTGACCTACGGTCCATCCTGCACGTCCGTTGTTGATGATCTGAGAGTGAAGGTTCCAATCCCTATAGAAAAGTTCTAAGTGTTGACAAACGGAAGGGGACCTACGGACCCTAGGTAGACCCACGGCCCGTAGGTCGAGCCGCGATTGATGCCGCGTTCCAGAAGTTTATTTCTTTATTTTGTTTCCTTTTTGTTTAGGACATGTTTTTCTATAAATAGGGTATGTAAACCTCATTTTTGGGGGTTAGACATTATTGTTTACTTTTAGTTCTTGGTATTTTTTGGAATTAACTTGCAACTTTAGCAATTTGATTTCTGGATTTAGTTTACAAGATTTTACTTTGAAATTCAATTGGAGATTCGGGTTTCTTCTACTCTAATCGTAAGTTCATGAATTCTTCTTATCAAAATAGGAATTGTGTTCTTTCAAGCATGAGTAGCTAAATACACAACTAGGATTGTGGGAACTATATATGAACAATTAATAATGTATGAATAATAATTAAGTAATTCCTGAATAGTATTTATGCATGTATTGGTAATTCTTTCGCTTAGAAGTCTTTTTAACGGTTGCAAACATTAGACCTCGCATCGTTCCTTCTTGCCGGACCAAGGAGGTAATGAATGAGAAAAGAATTAACAACAGAGATTTAGTGGATGTTATTTAATATCTAATGTCAATTGGTGCGAGGGTGAAAACTAATACATACATTGATGTGATGTCTAATCTGAGGTAAAGGTAAGGGTTCGTAAAGTATACATTCGTAGCCGGACCAGGGTGCGTAGTGAAATTTCCTATTTAGAGGACTAATCACTTAGGGATACATAACTTACCAAATTTGCATGTAAAATACTACGAAATGATTACTATTATTATGATTACCGCATTAAGAGATTATGGGGAACACATACACCCTAGTTTCTCTCTCATATTAATACCTTAAAAGTTTGAATCCTGCTGACTTGTTACTTGATCAAAAATCTGCTACTTGATTACAAAACCCTCCCTTTATTTACTTGTCTCGGAAATAGTTTGACTAAAATGATATAATAGTGAGTTAAGTTTAAGTCTGAACCATATTCCTCGTGGAATCGACTCCAACCTACAAGTTGGGTTCTTTATTTGACAACGATCGCTTATACTTCTTTAGGGAGATGTAATTTGAGCGTAGGCAGTCAGAGAGGACTATTCAAGTGTTAGAGGACATGTTGAGTGCATGTGTAATTGACTTTGGAGGACATTGGGATAAGTTCCTACCTTTGTGTGAATTCTCCTATAACAATTCTTACTACTCCAGCATTTGGGAGAGGATGTAGATCACCCATAGGATGGTTTGAGGTTGTTGATGTGAAACCTTTGGAGGTTGAATTGGTGAAGAATGCTCAAGACAAGGTAAGAAGGATCCAAGCTAAGCTCCTAGTAGCCCAAAGTTGGCAGAAAAAGTATGTAGACCATAAGGTAAGGGACAAGGCATTTTAGACTGGTGAGAAGGTTTTTCTTAAGGTATCACCCATGAAAGGGGTGATGAGATTCAGTAAAAAGGGAAAGCTTAGTCTTCGATATATTAGACCATTCGAAGTTCTTGACCGTATAGGGTCAGTGGCGTATAGGTTGGCTTTACCTCCTAACTTATCGGGAGTTCATCCAGTGTTTCATGTGTCCATGTTGAAGAAGTATCATGGGGACGGGGATTACATCATAATATGAGACTCAGTTGTGTTAGACAAAGACCTTCAGTATGAGGAAGAACCGATTGCAATTATGGATCGTGATGTCCGGAAGCTGAGGACTAAGGAGATTAAGTCCGTGAAAGTTCAATGGAAGCATCGTCTGGTTGAGGAAGCCACTTGGGAAACCGATAAGGACATGCGAGACAAGTATCCCCAGTTGCTCGACGATTCAGGTACTACTCCACTCTTGTTTTAGCATGTTTTTCCTAGTTTGTCACTCAGAGATGAGTGATGAGTAAATTGGTATCTATTGTAACGACCTATTCCCGTCTTTATAGAAAAGCCAACGAGGAAAAATTTTGGGCCGGAAAACTTTTTGGTAGTAACTTGGAATTTTTCAACCTAGTCCAGATTTGGACGAAATCAGAGTCAGTGAGGTCTAGGGGAATCTGGTAACAAATGGGAGATCTAATTATGTTTTTGACCACATGAGTGAATAGCTAAGACGTTAAGGAAATCGTATGACTTTACAAAATCAAATTCGAGCGAGTAAAACTCCCGAAACTGATATTAGCATGAACGAGTATTTTCTGAGTATCATGGGATGAGGGTGTGTTGTGAAATGAGGTTTTGAAACTCTTAATTAACTCTTTGTTTCCGTGCAACCCGCCAAGGCGGGATTATTCCTGCCAGGACGGGGCTGCTGTAGCGGGATGAGGACTGTTGTGGCGGGACAGTCGCGACTTAAGTCGAAAATCAACCCACGAAAACATTATTATTCTGCAACATTCGATCTTGAGAGCTAAGGAACGACCCAAGGATATTTCTTATAAGTTTTCCACCTCTTCTAGCACCAAAGGTAAGGTTTTTACTCCCCGAATCCATTTTTCGATCCGTAGAACTTAGTTTCTTGGGTAATTTTCGATGAAGGAGGGGTTTGATCTGGGAATTATGGTGGAAAAAGCCCTAATCTGGGTATGGGGATCAAGGGTTTGGCCTAGGATTGATATTATTGATTATAATTCGGGTAATTAGGTCTCGTTTATTGATCATCGCGTTATATTGATTGTTTGTAGACCAAGAACAAGCGAAAAGAATCTGGAAAGGGAAGAATCAAGTTTCTTAGGGGTTCAAGCTTTGTTCGAGGTAGGTGATGGCTGTGATTTCATGTTTGCGTAATGTATGTTAGTAATTGCTTCATTATAATACATGTATGTATGCGAATGTCGCATTGTTGATCACACCTATTGCAAATGAGTATGAACGAATGATTGTATGCCATGAATCAACACTTGATTGTATGATTGTGAGAATATACATTGTGATTGTGATTGTGGTATGTTGAATGGAGCGGGTGTCACGTTCTGACACACTAACTGGGATCAGATGTTACGTACCAACATACTTATTAGAACGGGTGTCACGATCCGACACACCAACTTGGAACGGGTGCCACGATCCAGTACACTAACAATTTGGGTATGGATTCCATGAGAGGACCAATGACTTGTTGTATGTGCGTATTATTGAGAATGTGGAATTGTACATTGATCCTGAAATGATGACTGCTATTGTATATGTTCGATATATGCATGTTTTATTATGTAGTGATTATTTGCATATGTTTCACTTGTTGGAATAGCCACGGGATCCTAC